CATCCGACTCTAAAGAGTGGATTTTGTGATAAGGGCCAGCTCATGTTTGAGGCTGCGCTCCTTTAGGCTGTGCAGTATAACTTTTTTTGCTAATTATAATGAATCACACTCTAAAAACGTGAGGTCCATGTTAAGAGATGGAGATAAAAATTTACGCATTTCTCTATGGCCAGAGTATTATGTGCAATTTATATCAGCTAATCCCCGGGCTTCATAATCTTCATAAAGGCAAACTTTTTTCTCCTTTTTCCTTTTTTCCATGGTAAGCTTTCTTAATGTAAACCTGTTTTCTTTGTTAATTGTTGTTTGATTTACCCAGTGGTAAGCCAAATAAGGACAATGTGTTTATTTAACATAGCAGAAGTGACTTAAGCAAGCTCCTAGGCTCCTCCTCCCTAAACTATGATAAAGATACAAATATTTGGTGCTAAGACTTGCAAAAACGATTACCTCAATTACTACAGTAAGAGGTCAACGTAATTAAAGTTATTTTGATCTTCTTTTATTTTAACTCTGCATTAAATATACAGTCAACACTGTATTCAAATATTGCCTATTTATATAGACTTTATAAATCAATGGTCAAAGTGTTAATGATGAACCTTGACTAGCATATGTAAACTGCTTATGCTAATATACTTATCTTTAGCACACAGACTTGTTCAATAGTGTGAACTAAAATTAAAGTTTTTAGTTTATTTAGTTTATTTGGAAAACACAGTTTTCGATGTTGACAAAAACTCTTTGAAAATCCAGTATGCAGCATTCATGTGGTGCCACTACAGAGGCAGCTGATACAGCATTGATGCTGCTGTAGATATTGCTTTTTCAGCTGCAAATACATCATTTGCTACAATGTTAAGTGTGCACTGAAGACATGCTATTTAAAAATCCTTATTCACCCTAGGGGTAAAGTGATGTCAGGTTTTTCATGGTTGAAAAGGACCGTATGTGTGGAATGATGAGGCTCTTTTCCCTAACCAAAAACACTCTTCTTTTCTTCTTCTCTTCTTTTTTTTAAATTTGATTAATATTGTCAAACTCCTGGTGCAGAAACAAATCTAGGATATGGACATAAACATTGGCAAAAGTGAATGAAAAATACAAGGTAAAAAGATCGAAAAAACAGATAAAAAAAGTCTATTGATATCCATGACGATTAAAAGGTGATTTAGGATAACAGGGCAACCACATCTTGAACTTTAACATGCTTAGTTTTTATTTAATAAGACGTGTGACAAAAAGCAAAAAAGAAAAAAGCAAAACAAAAAAAACTTCAATGAATATTTTCCAGTCTTATTACTTTTCAGAGTAGAGGACCAAAATAAGCAAACTACCTTTGGGGATAGCTGCTAAGTTTGTTCTACAGTATGTGTCTTGGAAGCCTTAGTTTGGAAGCCTTAGTTTGCAGTTTTGTTTAAATATGTAAATTTGGAATGTTAATGTAACATAAGCCTGGCTAATATAACTGACTTTATTACAGAACTGATGGTGGTCATAAAACAGTTTTGTTCAATGTTCTTTTTGTCCTCTATAGAGGACATTGTAGAGGAATCACTCATGGCTGTTAATTTAATTGATAGATATAATCTAAACCTCTTATGTGACCCTTAAACATTGTCCTAGCTGTGCAGATATTAATTTTTAGTAACACACATAATCTTATAAATATATCTTTAAACATATTACATATATCATTTTAGTGTAATTATTTTCAACCTACTGTAGCAAGTTCATATAATTTATCTGCAGCACAGTTACCATTGTACTAGACTAATACAAAATATCTGCCAGCTAGTTTCATCACAGAAAAAGGTTTTCGAACCACTCACATTTTCAAAAGGCATGACCCTGTCCACAGTCCTGAATAATATAAGCTTATATTTGCTTCTGTGAGCCTCAGTTTGAATAATTTATTTGCCACAATAAATAGAAACAGCATCTCTGGCAGTAACTTGGAAATTAGCGCTTACAAAATTGGAGATGAATTTTTTTACCACACACCGACATGTTAGAAATAAATCAAGAACTCAGGTCTTCTTTTGTTGTGCTTGTTTTTTACTCTGCTTTGTAAATGTAAATCAAGGGCTCATTTGTATACTCTGGACTAAATTACAGGCTTTATTTTGCTGCATTTGATACTCTGAGATGCCCTGCTTTGACTTTAATTTGTTTTTGTACAGGCCACTAGAAATATTTTGCATGGTCAAACATCTCTATTGCTTTGGCACTAATGACTTAGAATTGGATGTAGTGTTAAAAATGGGATTTACTATTATGATTTTTTGTTAAAGTTTTCTGTTTATGCTAACTGATCACTAATCATTTACCACAGGGGTGGGAAATAGAATAAGTTTTCCAAGTATTCAGTAATATATTACAAGTTTCCAGGACTCTTTTGTGGGCTTTTAAATGAAATGTCTTTCCCAAGCACTTTATTGTATAATGTGGGTGTCCTTGCAACGCAATATAAAACCCAAAGCAAGGAATTTTACATGTGTTAATCTCTGAAATCAGTTTCAATTCCTTACATGCAAATTGGAATTTATACTCAAGTGTATTGCCAAATAGGATATACTGTAAGACAAAAAAACAAGACTCTCAAGTTACTGTATCTATCTTTTTAGCCTTCCTACTTTATCTTGTCATGATCTTGAGGGAAATGGTTAAGAATTACACTAATTTTCCAGGGCCTTTTCTAATCTTCACCACAAATTTTTGCTTTTAAATAAACTTAGTAAAACTGTCCTCACCTAAAGTTGTGACATATTAAAACCACATTGAAAGTTTGCTATCCCTAATATTTTCATATATTATATTGTATTGATGGACTTTTGGCCTTTTTGCATATAACCTTCAATGATGCCTATGAAATTAAAAGATTGCATTCATCTCTAAATAAATAAACTAAAACAATGTTTTTAGTTCAGGATCAAATCAAAGGTTTCTTGGTTTAAGATGTGACCTTTGTTTCTTCCTTCCTTGGCACTTAAGTACCATGTCTGTTTTATAAGAAAAATGAATAAATAAAATTTACAATGGTCATTGCTATTCAAATGGCATGCAACCACCAGGTAAGAGGTTTCAGAGAGACTGGGTTTATGGCTTTGTCCTAAAAATTATTTGATAATCTGTGATTATTAATATATCAAAATGATATTCCAAATATTTTGGGCATTTAGATTTCTTTTACAAAGCTTAAAAAACACAATTATTTTAATTTTTTATATGTGTGGCAGCAGATAAAGCAATTACTTACAAGCCAGTGTGGATTAGTTATTTTGCACACTTTGTAACGGAACACATTTAGAGACTACCGTACTTATAAAATAAGCACTGCTATCATCCGTATTATACACAATGTGCAAAATGTGGAGATGAGATGCTAACTGATCCCTACCTGGTTTCAGTTAAAACAGGTTGCAAAAAAAGATGTTATGGTCTCCTGCTGCTCAAAATGATTTTAGTAAGGTACATAACAGCAAATTAGACTTAATTTTTACAGATTTTTTTTTTTATCATAAAGAAGATCATAAGATCATCACTTTTGTGTTGACTAAGTAGTGGCCCTCCATTGCTGAGACAGTTTAATAGAAATGTCAAAGTAAGCTTCTATGAATGAAGCTTGTTGCAGCGCTACTAGCTAATAGTGCTTCGTCAGGATTTCTTCAAAGCTTTGTTAAAAATACACCTTTCTGGAGTTGAAATAGATCATTGGTTTTCAAACTCACTCCTTTAGGATCCACTGTCCTGGATATTTCAGGTATTCCCCTGCCTCCACCTGCCTGACTTTAATAAATGAGTGATGCGTGATGTTGGCATGCTGGAGCAGAGACATCTAAAACCTGCAGGACAGTGGGTACTGAGGACCCAGTTAAAAATATTGAAACACATTTTCTGGGTCATGGAAAGCTTTTGGACTGAAATCTTGAATTATGTTTTTATGCAAAGCACATATCACTATCCCACTGCTAAATAGGTTCCCATTAAAAGCGTAAAATTTCTCATTATCTATAAAATTCTTTAAAAATGGTAATGGCTGTTGGTTGCATTTATTATCCAAAGAAAAGCTTAACATACATTCCCTTTGTCCTCAAAGAGCAACCTAATACAAAAGTTTTTATCCAAGCCATTATTCTTAGATTTCTTGTTATCACTTTATTTATCTATCTTTCTTGGATTCATTTCTTGCTTAGGCTGATGTTTCTGTCTGCGGAAACCATTAAATTATGCTACTTCAGAGTAGAAACATGAAAAAACTTCCCAAAACCGTACAGTCTTCATTACCAACACATTTCAACGCTAATGGAACATTAAACCATTTGGGTCCTTAGTTGGTTTATGCCATAAGTGCCTGAAACCTATAGGAGTTTGGGATGTCTGATTCTGTAGATATGAAAAATGATCATGAACCATCTTGTGTCATTTACACTACATTGGCTTCATGCTTTTTATCACATGTATTCCTCATTTATGTATATTTGAGCTAAATATGCAAAATGTCTCAAGAAACTATGTGGTAAATATAGACGGATACTCCATTCTGCTTGATATTTCTTATATTTTATCTTAGTAATAATAATGCACCAAAAATAAATATTTAGTAATCTAAGGAAAATCTCGTTGAATTTGAATACAGTAATATCACATTTATTACAGTACCTAAATTCAATAACCTTAAATATTTTATGGATAAATAAACAAAGACCAACGGTTTTTAGGCATTCTTATATAAATTCTGAGGAGTTCTGCTTAAAGCAAACATGATTAATTTCTTGGAGAGCTACAATGTTACATTAGACTAATAAAAAATAAACTGGGAATACAGAAATTTAGATTAAAAGATTTGTATATTTAATACCTGCTTAAAGTTTATTATTTTGATTAAAAAAATACAATTGATCTGACAAAGATGCCTCATTGGAACACATATTCTAATTTATTGATTTCAATTCAGAAATTTGTTATTTATTGCTGTGCCTTTTTATGCTGTTTTTCAGGGGCTGATCGTGCAGCTTTAGTGATGAAGTTTAACTTGTTCAAGCAACAAACGACGCCCATGGTCGCAGCCAAACCAACGGGGGCCAGTGACTTGACTGTTACTCCAGCCCCCGTAGCGTTAGTCTCTGCTGAGAACTCCACGGAGCCAGTCAACAAGAACGATGCCTTTGATGAGATCAAAAACAAGTTCCTGAATGAAATCGACAAGATCCCACGTGAGTGCCTGGCAAAAGCCAAAACTGTTATCGACGTGGCTCTCAACAATTATTTTGGAATTAGATTTTCTCTTTTGCTGCAGGCATCATCAGTCCCATAATGTCTTTATTTGGTATTGATCACTGGCTGCTCTTCCTAATGGCAAGGAAATCTAATTTTCCTCCAATCTAATTGCTAACCTTCCACCTCTCACTAAATCCATGTGGCCTTGGGCATGACATGAAGCAGGCTAAATTATCATTCAGTCAGACTTCAGAGTATGTGCTTCTCATTTTTGTTTTTTAATGGGGCTGTTCCATCTATGAACTGGTCTGTGTTCTCCTCAGTGCCATCCTGGGCCATCATTGCCATTGCCGTGGTCGCTGCTTTACTGATTCTAACGTGTTGCTTCTGCATCATCAAGAAATGCTGTTGCAAGAAGAAGAAAAACAAGAAGGGCAAGAAAGGAAAGGGTGACATGGGAATGAAGAACTTGAAAGGAGGCGAGGTATGTTTCACTGGCACAGGTTGAGTCCCAGCTAAGAAAATCTATATTGGCCCTTTAAATGAGCCACAAATATATTTGACCCTTTCATGACTCTATTAGCTAATGTCTGTTGGGTTTAATGAGAGGCACTATAGTAAAACAAAGATAGACATTATGAGTCATAGAAATGACTCTGCTAATTTATTATACTTCTTACTGATTAGAGTCTAACAAGGTTTTTTAACTTGTTTTTCCCTAACCCAGTCAAGAGTGTTTTTTCACAGATTTTGATAACACTGTTTGTCATTCATAATTATTTGTTTCATTTTCTCTTTCTTTCTCTGTTTATTCAATGTACTTGTGATAAATGTTATCGTTGCACTCTCTTTCATGTGGGCTTTGGGGTTTGAGAACAAAATGACAGGGTTCTTGGTTACACAGCCTCTTTTATGATTGTTTCTTTTACACTCAATAAACAGTCATTATCAGAAATTACTAGATTTCACACTTCTGTTACTTTAGGTTTCATTTTATGTTTTTGTGATGGAAAAACAGTAAAAATGCAGGTATTAAGAAAAAAAAAAAAAACACTAAAAGCACATAATTGTGCCAATAAGGAGGCTTTCCCATCTGTCATTTTCCTCACTCTCTGCAGAGCAGCTTACTGCATTTGCTGTGATTACCCTTCTTTGGTGTCTGCTGTGAGTTCAATCTCTTCCTTTGTCTCTGCTCTCCTCCTTCCTGCTTTGTGTCTTATGTGTGCTCCGTGTATCTTGACTGTGGTGGACTTCTCTGTCTACGGTAGGTCTGACAGCACGCGGCACCCCTCTCTGGCCGCTCTGTGTAAGCACAGACCAGGGCAGGGTGGGGACGGTGCTGGAGGGGGGTGGGGCTGGGCTGGGCTTGGAGGGGTTTGATTGCAATGTTGATGACAATGATTGCTTTGGCTTCCCTAGTTTATTGCAAGTTTTGGTGCTGCAGGTGCTTGAGGACTCTTTGGGAGTATTTAGGTTGCTTTGCAGAATCCACTTAACTGTTATGCTGCACCAACTACCATGTCTTGAATATCCAAGGATTGCAGTTTTTTTTTATTAAATGAAAAAAACAACAACGTTTTTTTTTAATGCTATATGGTTTGAAGTGAACATGAAACTCATCCTATGGTTAAGCCTTTGAATGTTGAGCGCACTGAGCAACTCACTAGAGATCACTAACATGCATGTGCAAGGGGTATGCTGGGTATTTGTCAAATAACACTTGTAATGTAATTTAACAAAAAGCTTGGAGCGGGCTACGGCAAAAACAGAAATTAACTTCAGAGCTCAGGGACAACAGATGACTTACCAACTATTCGTCTGTAGATTGACTCAGGTGTAAAATTTTGTCTATGATACCTTGGATGTGAAAACAAGCTCCTATTTAGCTGATGAAAACATCTGTGACTCTTGACAAAGACCAGCATATGCCCTTGCAGTAGGTTACCATTGAATGGCCACAACTTGACTTGAGAGTAACTTTCCTGGATGACCCATGCTGCTGACATAATAGGTTACGGTCACCAATAACCCCCCCCCCCTTCCTAAAGTCCTTGGGTCTCACTGGAGAGATATGGTGACCCTGAATGCGTGCCTGAATTAGTAATGAACAGAGGCCTGATTCAGCTAAGTGGAAAGCTGGAAGTCAGCTGTCTGTTTCCTTTGACAGTTTGCCTGCAAACCCTAAAACTGAGCTTTTTTTTACTCAGCAAAAGGCATTCATTCAGACACACTGTATCTGCATCTCTGAGGTCCCAGATAAATTATGAAACGAAATAAAACGTATGCATATATGTAGCATGATACCTCCATGTTTTTATTATGCTATATTTAGGACATAGATAAATACTTTTCTCGACCCCTAAACAAGGTATGTTGCAGTTATTGACTATTTATTGCTCAGATTTCATTCAGCAAAGCATTAACATTTGCCATCAGAAATAAACCTGGATCTTGCATTATGTGGCCTGGCATGCTCGAATGAAAAGTAATAGCGCAACATAGCCACAGAATGCAACATAAAATGATGCAGAATGAGAATATTTTTATGAATGTATGTGTGTGTGTTTAAGAGAGAGAGGGCGAGAGATAAATATATAGAGAGAGTGGGTTTAGCATGCTGGAGAGTCTGCATGTCAGCATTTGTTTGGGGGTGTTGTGTGTAAGCAGTTCTAAAGTGGTTATGTTCATTTTTTTAATTTGTGAGTGTCTGCCATGTATTTTTTCCTAGCTCATTATTGGGCAGCTGGAGCTTTCGGTTTCATGAAGAAAGGTTTTCGATATATATTCTTTTATTTTACAGTGGTTCATACTAACTTGATGTATGCTAAATAACTTTAAGTAAAAAAGAGCACTGATGCCTGACGTGTGCACGATAATACATACCGGTATATCTATTTAACTTTGAGTCCCTGATTTCTTAAGCCTAATCAAGACAGGCATGATGATTAAAAAAAAATAAAATTACCAAATAATAAATCCATCAATTCAAAAATATCTTCAGATGACTTTTTAAATCATTGACTTAAATAGATAATAAATAAAGCCACTCTAAGAGCAATAAACTAGAAAAGCAAAGACATCAATAAATGACCAAAGTCATTATAATTTCTTGATATAAATAAAAGCCTGTCTTTTTCCTTCCATTATTGTAAAAAAAGATAAATAATAAATCATCAAGAATATTGGACATTTTTACATCTCAGATGTTGAAATTGTACATAATGGTGTTTTTTAATGTAAAAAAAAAAAAAAAAAAAGAAAAGTAAAAACCAATAGCCTGATAAACGTGTTTGGATTCTGTTATAGCATTTATTCTGCTTTGGGACCCCACCAAAAAAACTGTTATATTACATCTGACCTACATGAAATCAAGTTTAAGTTTTCTGGCATCATTTCCTGTTTATTTGCCAACAGGTTACAATGGTTAAAAAAAAATGTCATGTAAAAAGGCTTCAAAAACATTATACCACATTATATATCCACATGAAGTATAGTAAAAAAAAACTAAATTTACAGTAATATTACTATACCAAGGCATTTTTCCAAAAAATATTAAAAAGACAGCATTGAAAATGGTAAGAGAGGCTACTAAGAGCCAGCAAGGAACAATGAAGAAACTGTAGGAGGTTTTGGCACTATTTCTTTTCCCAAGGAAAACCTCAAGGTCTGCTCAAAAAATGCTCAAAAATTTGAGTTTTTTATAGAAAAAGAGAATCATTCTGTTCTTATCATAAAACATTTTAATGGTTCCTACAGTTTAAACTAAATTGGGCTTTATGAGCCAGAAATTTAACAAAACATCTCATCTCAAAATGAATAGAAATAATGAATATAAAAGAAGTACAAAATGCAACACTGACAAGGAATGTTTAATGCAATTGATTTGAGTTGATGCAGAACTAAATTATCTTTATCAATGTGAATATAAAGTAAAAGTCCCACCTGGATGCTATTTTTTACCTGTTGAGTAAGGCAAGGCAAGTTTATTTGTATAGTACAATTCAGTAAACTGAGAATACAAAGTGCTTTACATGAATTAGATAATAAAAAAGAAGAAAAATAAAAGCTTGATTAAGGAGTTGTGGCATATTTACCAGCATTGAGCTATACATTTCTTAGATGTATTTTAAATTTGACCTTTAATATATCCATCCACCATAAATTAGTGTTGTAGTAAAATCTGAAACCTTGCATTGCTTTGGTGTAAAGAGCTTTAAACATTAATCTACTCATTTTCAGTCTTAGCACCAAAAAAAGGTATAAAAATATCTTCCCTTCAATTTTTGGATATAAGTGAACATAGCCTTTGAAACAAATGTTCATACTCACTACAAAACATACTAGAATGGAAATGCAGCTCTAACCTAAATTCGTTGTTCTCTTTGGTAAGAATTAACTGAATTTTATTTACAAGTTGTCAAGTTAGAACTTTGTCATAGTAAAGAATTTGAGTTGAGTAAATGTAAGTAAATTACTGTTTACCAGTTGAAAAAATGCATTTAAGCTGGAGCTGTATTCTCTCTTTGGTGTACTACTGCACAGATGGATAAGTGAATTTCAGGCGTCATGTTTCTCAAGAGTCTTAAACTCTTGTTTTTATTGTATCAAACTGTTTTATAAGGTTGTTTGCTTCTTGTCCACCTCTTCTACATGCACCATTGTGATCTAGTCCTTTAAAATATCCACCACAGGCTGAAGTGTTTCTACGTACAACAATTTATAGTGAGGGAAAATAAGTGGCTTAGATTTGACATCCCTGTAACATGAAAAACCAAAAAAACGGCAAATGGTGTCACCCAGGAAAGAGTCAAATCAAGTCAGGTTGCAACCGTGGTCATCGATGAACAGTTTGCACTTATAGCACTGGGGTAAGTTGAAGGTAGGTGCTGTGACTAACCTGACTGCTGACGCCTAAGGTTAGATGGTCAGCTCAACCACTCTTTCAGTGCCATCTTCTCACTCTATTTTTTGCCATCTATCAAACTTCTATCATTGCAGAAACCCCAGGATGATGATGATGAGGAAGACGATATTGAGCCAGGCCTAACAGGAGATGAGAAAGAGGAGGAGGTGAAGGAGAAGGAAAAGCTTGGGAAACTGCAGTACTCCATTGATTATGATTTCCAGGAAAACAAGGCAAGGAATGCAACTATGTGTTTTTTTTGGCTCAAACCACTGTTCTTTTCTAAAGTATAAAATACCCTTGTGAACACCTCCGCTTTAAACTTAAAATAAACATATTTAATGCATTTCATACACATACTATATTACACAACATTGCATAATTTCAAGAAAACATTACAATGTTTTTTCTACTTTTTTACAAATGAAAAAACAAAACAAAAACAAAAGTTGTGTGGGAGCTTAAACCAAAGTTAAAACATGAAGAGGTACCTCAAACCGACAAAAAACTAAAATCCAGAAGTGTAGACCCTCTAAAGTTAAATTCAAATTCAATTTAATTAAAATATACTTTATTAATCCAAAAGGGAAATTAAATGTAGCATTAACTGCTATTGTATTTCGTATCCTAGTACTGTAGGTGATGATTGCTGTAGGCAGGATGGATCTTCTGTAGTGGTCTGTCTTGCACCGTATCTGGAGAAGCCTCTTACTAAAGACATTCTGTAGTTTTAACTGTGACTTTCTGGTACCACAAAGCTGGATTCACTCTTAGTGAGGCTAGTCGCTCTAGCTAATGTTTTCTGAATCGGAAAACTGCTCAGCGGGAAGGCTAAGTGAGCTGAATCTAAAGCTCCGCCCAGCAGCCAATCAGCTGTTTAGGAAACAATTATGTGCACTTTCATCTAAGACCTGATTTGATTCTGGGGAAGAAAAAAAAATAAATAAAAACAACATAACAATAAAACAAATAAAGATAAATATATAACATTTATTATATAAAATAAAATAATAGAGTTACTGCTAGTCATAATTACTATTTCAGATATCAAAAATGAATACCTGAAATAGTAAATGAAAAAATGTCAAAGGGGCCACTTAAAATTTGTAAAGATTTCTAGGTTTATTCTTACCAGTACAATTATATTTTTGGCATCCTGAAATAAAATTTTTGCTGGCAGAAATTTAATTTAGGATATCTATATGTACATTTCTGGCTAGTAGGAATGGTGTTTTGACCAGGAAGAATGTTATTTTACAGATCAACAAAAGGAACAATAGAGAGGACAGCGATTATAATAAATGTCAAAACGGCCTGCCTTAAGAATTTCCTACCAAACTGTACACGAAAAAGAAATTTCCCATTTTTACCAAAAGCAACCAAGAACAAATCATGGGGGTAAGAAATATTACAGTTGGATAAATAAAAAAAAAACTCTTAGGCTTAAACATTTTACTGTGTTTAATGCATAAACACATTAAAACAAATTCCAATGCTATTTCCTCACTAAGTGCATTGTTAAGGAGCCCTGAATTGAATATGAATTTGAGTAATCTGGATTTTAGCAGCTGTGACAGAAAACTGCCCTCCTCCAACGTTCTGTTCACTTCAAGCAATTGATCCATGTATAATGTCATTGGACAGAAAAAGAGTAGCATTGCCAACACTAGTATCAACTTTGATTAGGACGTTTACTCACACATCCATCAGTTTCCCAGCAACACCTGAATTCCTTCACAGCTTTAGCTCACGCTTCAGTGAATGCCAATGTTCATGCTGTATTTTGAGCACTATTTGAATCTTAACCCTCTTGGAATCAAATATATTTTTGCATTTTTTATGACTAGATCTTAGACTTGATTATTTTCAGCACTCTGCTGGGAGGTGCCAACTGGCTTAGCCCAATGCTTCTTTTTACCGCCTGCATGCATGCGCAGTATTGTAGCTTCAGTCAAGCTCTGTTGTTAATATAGATACACCAGAAGGATTTAATTTATTGAATACCGAGCAAAAACAAACCTTAAAACACAAAAATAGAATTATCTGTCAATTGACAGTATAAAGTGTTGCATTTATTTTAAGGAAACATAATTTGTTTTTATGGATCTTTCAACCATATTTATTGGAGTGGTTTACGTAAGAAAGTTCTGACGACAATAGGCATCATTTTAGAATAATTTACATTAGAGAAACATTTAGAGAAAAAACGTATTTTAAAAACATGTTTTTCTTTTTCTATGGGTTTTTTGTTTTAGAGTGATGCTTGCTGAGCACTTTCTTAGAGACAATGTGACAGGATAAGAAACTCCAATATCTGCAGGGTGCTCTTAGTCCTTTAGAGAAGTGTCTCCTCTGCATCAGAATAAGCCAGCTCAGTTGGTTCGGCCATCTGATCAATGTCAGATGCTGCATCATTGATGCAAGTTTACCATTACTATTTCTAACATAAAGTATTCATGGATCAGGGTTTTTAATGTTCCGTTTTTGTGTCTGCTTCTTTCTCCTCTAAACCTCAGTCGACCTCTCACACCTAGCCTGGTTCTGTTTGAGGTTTCTTCTTGTTAAAAGCGGGTTTTTCCTCTCTGCTGTTGCTGCGTGCATAATCAGTGTGAGCGATTGATTTGGAGTCAGTGAACTGCTGCAATGAACTGGGTTTTCTCAGACACAAAACTTTTAACAAATCTGTATGATTTGATTGAATTGCTTCTGCAAAGTACATTTAGATGATGTGTTGTGAACTAGTGTTGGAATCAAATGAGTTGGATATTCTTGGTGCACCTTACCTTAGGAGTTTACTGGGCACATCCTACTAGGAGGAGATCCCGAGACAGAGCTACTTTATGTTGTGGGCAATAAGAATTTCCCTTCTCAACAGGACCTGTTTTTCATGGGATGATATCTAGGATAAGCTGAAGACAATGTTTCGATAGGCAGAGAGGTACATGTAGATGTGCAAAAATGTGAGCTAATTTCTGCTTAGAAAATTTAGCTCTAAAGGTGGCTCTGTTGAAATATCTGTAAATATTTTCATATTTCATATTAGCATCTATAATATATTTTACTGACATGATGTTTCACTCCTCAGCTTACAGTAGGAATTCTACAAGCAGCTGACCTCATCTCCATGGACAGTGGAGGCACTTCAGACCCTTACGTCAGGGTCTTCGTCTTACCTGACAAGAAGAAGAAGTTTGACACAAAAGTACATAAGAAAACCCTCAACCCAGTCTTCAATGAGACGTTCACTTTTAAGGTAAGCTTAAAGTGACTTGAGGCCCCTCATCAATCATTTTGTGCAAATGAATCCTGCACATTAATTGATTTGATTAGTTAGCATGTCTTATAAAAAAATGTAATTCCCCCTCTCCTTATCTACCTGATGCAGGATATTTAGATTCTGTCTTCCTTTACAGTTTGACTTTTGTCCCACTGTGATAAAAGAAGCATTGATATTGAACATGTCTTACAAAAGATATTCTGAAAGGGAATCATTTAAAAGGAGAGGCTCACCTTGGGGGCACCTTGTCTGCTGACACAGCTCTGTACAAAATAATTTAAAATTTTTAAAAGCCAGTCAAAGTCAGACAGTCCTAGTGAGGCAGCCATGTATTTGTATGCAGCTAAATAAATCTAAGCAGACAAAATGTTACATAAAAAAAATAAAAATGTAAAGTTCTATAAGAGCTTTTTTTTTGTATTTTTAAAATGTAACTAATTGAACTGAATAAAGTCATTGAGCTCTTGCTTTCATTTAATTGGGATTACTAAATGAAAATCCTCAACTCTCAGTCCAGTGACAAACCATAGTGTAGACAGTGAATATAAAAAGGATAATATTGCTAAATTTAAGCTTAATAAATGTGCTAGAAAGTATATAAAAACTTGTTGTATTTGATTTTAATCACTAAAATAAGACTTACTGCTAATTTTCAGATACCGTTCACTGAAATGGGAGGGAAGACCCTGGTGATGGCTGTCTATGACTTTGACCGCTTCTCAAAACATGACATCATTGGAGAGATTAAGATACCCATGAACACTCTGGACCTTGCAAAACCAATCGAAGAGTGGAGAGACCTGGACAGTGCTGATCAAGAAGAGGTAATTTCTGCTTCCCTAGCACTCAGCTAAAAAACGCCATATAAAGAGCAAGCACAGTTAAAAGATATTGGGAACATGATGAAACTATCAACATTTTTTGTCAATATTTACAGAAAGTACAACTGATAGTTTTATTTTTTGCACAAAGACTGAAATATTTCGCATCCTTTTTCTTGTAATTTTCATAATTATTGCTTACAGATGCTAAAATATCAGTATGGGTTTCAAACTAGCTTTTAAAATTATATACCGGTATATGTTTTCCGAGTGGGATGGTGACTACATTCCACATTCAACATCCGAAGCCGAAAAAAGAAGACATTCATCACAATGATGAGTGAACAGTATACACACTGCTGATGAGGTTTAAAGAAGTACATGTGTTCTGCCAGGGATGCATATTTATGTTAGTTAGAGTTTTAAAGAAAAGTGCTGCTGGTTTTTTATACTTTTAAAACAATCCATTTCCTTCTGTGATTCTGGTTTGATGTCTGTTATGCTACACTGCTCAGTGAATAACTATCCACCTTGTTATGTGGAGCTGTCACTGAGCCATTTCACGCTGCACTCTTAAAAACCATGAGAGGCACATTTTAATCCCAGAAACTGCCCCTCCCGAACCATCTTAAAAAGAACAATGATGTTGTAGCTTTTTCAGTCCTGAAGAATTTTTCAAGCAGTCCAAAAAAGCAAATTAGATGTCATACAGAACAATTTATTTCATGAGTGTAATTTGTCTAATCTCCCTTTACTAAGTCTAAGTTTCTACTCTCTTTGCTCCCTCTTCTAGCCAGAGAAGCTTGGTGATATTTGCATCTCTTTACGTTATGTCCCAACTGCCGGCAAACTCACCATCTGCATCCTGGAGGCTAAAAATCTAAAGAAAATGGATGTTGGGGGACTATCAGGTGGGTTAGTTTCCAGAAACAGAATTGAGCATCATATGTATATCCTCTAGATCCACATCTTACCCTGTATTACTGTAGAGTCCTGATTAAAAGGACCTTCTGGTTGCACCTAGACTGCAGAACGTTAATGTGACCAGTCATCAATTTTGTGCAGCTCTGCTCACGTGCTACAGCTGCAGTGCTCACCAATCCTTCACCAGGCATCCTGCTTTTGAAGTGGCTCCATCTGTTGGCACATTACAGTAGCACTACCCTGTTTTGAATGAGCAAAGAGTGTTCCTAATTGTCATCTTGTGAATTTGTCTTATATCTGTTTGTCAGATCCCTATGTAAAAATTAACCTTCTTCAAAATGGAAAGAGGCTGAAGAAGAAGAAGACGACAGTGAAGAAAAATACCTTGAATCCATATTACAATGAGTCCTTCAGCTTTGAGATTCCTCTTGAGCAAATGCAGGTATGTTTAAACATGTCTAGGTTTTTTAGAAATGTACACAGTAATACACTTAATGTAATACTAAGATTTTCAAGTTTGTCTAAAAAAGGACTTTAAGAATGTAACTTCAAAATTCAAATACATACTCATGTAAAAGTATAAATCCAGACATGTAGTGACCTGCAAAAAGATGTATATCTCTTGAACGTTTATGACATTTTTTCACAATCATCAGTTTACCGGGTTGTAATGCTCTCTACCTTTTTCCTCAGAAAATTCAAGCCGTCATCACAGTGCTGGATTATGACAAGATTGGCAAGAATGACGCCATTGGGAAGATCTGGGTGGGAAGCAAGGCCACAGGGGCCGGGCTGAAACACTGGTCCGACATGCTGGCCAATCCCCGTCGCCCGATTGCTCAGTGGCATCCGTTGCAGCCAGAGGAAGAGGTGGATGCCTCCTTAGCAGCGCTGAATGCCAAGAAGTAAATTAAAAAAAAAAAAAACTCCCACCACCTGCCCCCACACCTTCCTACCTGTGCATTTCCCATCGTTTCATCTACATCCCACATATTAATGTATGTTTCCGAATGACAACCAATCTACTCCCTTCAGCACATTTCTGTCCCACAGCCATCATCTTAAAAGATCCAAAACACATTTGACATGATGGGAAATCTAGTTTAAAAAATTGTATTCTAATAACTCATGTCACTAAGAAAAGAAGACAAGTCGCAGGATGGACAGATACTCAGTTATGTTTGTTTTAGATCTATTTTTATATTGGACTTATGGTTCCATTATTAAGCTTACAGAGTAGACTATAGTAAGAGTGTTATATGGGTATTTGGTGATTTAGAGGGATAACATATTGATTCATACTATACTTCTCACCTGTTTTCCCTTTAGTGACACAGTTTGCTTAGAATAGTGCTTAACAATATAATGCTTTATACTGCCATATGATAGAGAAACAACACAAGCAGGTCCATTCCGTAGGTGTTTTTTGCACCATGTCCCACACCTGCCAGTTATCTTCTTAGATGATTCTGTTAGTTGGAAGTACATTCCTAGATTTGGGTGGCAAAGTAGGGATTAAGTCCAGTTACCCAAAAGCACTGCCTTTTCAGATTATTTAACCTTCCACTCATCTTCTCAAGACAACTGAGAGGAAAACTTCATGCCTTTCTTTTCTAAACGGGTTCTCTTCTTATAAGTTACACAATGTGATGAGAGAAAAAAAAATCTATTTCTTAAGAGTTCTAGTGACCTTAGGCTTATGACTGATGTTAGTTCTACTACAAATCATTGAGTTGAATAGTGAGTATGACAGATAATTTGCAAAAGAAAAGAAACAAAACAAGTGTGCTTGTGTATTTTACATTGTATTTTAAAAAAAGCACCGTCTGTCATCCACACTACAAAAAAGTTTGGAAACACCAGAGTGGCTATTAAAAGAGAGACAAATCCCAACCACCGCTGACATATTAAAAAGGTGTCGATTACTGCCTACAGCCCTTGACTTCCCCATCCCAACACCTCTGATTCTGTATCTCACTTGTTCAGTGTTACTGCCATTAGTCATGGACTTGACACAAGGGTTTTTACTTCAAAGGAATCCCTATAACCGTCTTACAGTCATAAAGGAGACAAGCCTTCCAAGTAACAAAATAAGCAATTTTCAACTACCAGGGACGCCTTCCAGTTAAAGGTGTTGTTCTCTTTATTTTTATTTGGATTATTCTATTATTTCTTCTACTTAATGATTTAGTTCAACTTCAAACACTTGTATTCCTTGAGCACTTTAATTCCTAACTTTTTTGTGTATATATGCTCAAAAGTCAGAGCTTTAACAGTTTAGGGATGTTCATTTTGTTGCTTTTGCTTCTGCTTACTTTGGTCTCAGTGTGTATGTGTGTGTTTACATTGTTTGGTTTATGATCATTTCACATGATTGCAAAAAGTCTGGTCTGGGAAAAAAAATGCACAGATCCATGTGTATTTTATGCACAGCTTACCAAACTATTGATTATAAATTGCACTAGTAAGTATTGATATGTCTGACACTGTTCTTTAAAGTGTGTTTTTCCTTTTCCTGAGTGATCAAATGTAATGAAATGTATTCTTTCTGTGGCACATACTTACAGCTCGCCTCTTATAAATGAAAGGAAAAAGAAACACATTTGAGTTCAGTGCTGCTTCACAGAATGAACTAGTGCAGTATAGAGAGCCAAAGCCTGCGCCAGGTTACCTCAAATGTAGTTCTTACTAATTTCAAAAGCATTATTCATAACAACCTCTCTCAAAAAAGTGAGTTCAGTTTTCTATATCTTATTTTGAGCTTTAGCATCCACAAACACAAACACAAAAACCCCAACAAATTAATTCAATCTTTCAATCTTTTATTCAATCAGGAATTTTATTTAGATTTTCCAGTACCATAAAAGAACATTAGCATTTAATAATATAACTTTTTATTTTTTTGCGTACCCAGATTTTTTACATCTTTTGTCATTTGAACTCTGTCAGATTTCATATCCTCAATTTTCCAGAGCTTCAAGTACTGTGTGCCAAGAATTCGTTTCTGAGAGATATTCATAGGCCCTGTGACAAGCATTAAAACGTATAGGACTTTAGTATCAGCTTTACTACAATATCTGTAGATTTTTTTGTCATACTTAGCACTTTAGCCTACAAAAATATAGAGATGGTGGCTTTGTTTTACAGAAAATACCTATAAGCTGTGGCTGAATAACAAAAAGTAAGTTGTTTTCTGCAGAAAATTTTACTCTTGTTGGAGTATTTGCCAGAACAGTGAAGCACCAATACAGACAGAAACGCCAGTGATTCATGATTTCCTTTTATTTGGACAGATAAGAATAAGTATTGGACAGATAACTATACTTTAAAGGTGCAACACTCATTTTATCCTTTGTTTTTTTAAATTATGATATTTTTTTTTTATCTTTAAGAGTTTTGTACAATAGAAACACTTTAAGATGTTAACCAGATGCTCTGCATTGTGTTTTTTGTTAGGTTGTTGGCCTGTAGCAGTAAGCAGAGTGACACAATGGTAGTTGTTGACAAGTTTATATGGGAGTGTACCATCAACAGCCTTGAAGATTATACACAGTTGGCTTTTAAAACAAATCCTACTGTTATGGCAATTATACATGAAAGGTTTAAACAATAGTTATTTTTTACGGGCAGAAAACAAATAAGTATTTCAGTGTAGCTACCTGTATTATATTATACTACCCTAATCATGATACTATATGCAATGCTCCTTTGAGGTACCCTCTGCACAGGATCTTATTAACAAATACTTTTTTACTGATTGTTTGAAGTTACAAATGAAATTGAGATCCTTTGGCTCTTTATATTCGCACATTGAAATTCTGAGACAAGTTTTTTAGGGTAATTGTCGGTTTGCAACAGTTACTGCTCTATTAAAGCCAATCACCCCTCAATAAACTTTTTAGCCAATCAAAGGCCTAATAGGTTTTGGTGAGCGTTATGCTTTCTCACCAGGAAACATCCAGTTAGCTGTGTGCAATTTATAGCAAATGCAGTTAAAGTTTTTGATGTTGCATCTTTTTGCTGAAATTGTTTTTCTTTTCTTTCTTATGTAAGTCTTTTTTTAAAAACAAGACCAAATTTCTGTTTGTCATCTTGCACAAATCCTTCTTTTTGAAGCAACACTAAAGAAAAAGGCAACATGGAAGCAATCAAGCAACTCATTGATGTGTAGTTTTGCCTATATACATAGCTCATACACATTGATACTGCATGTTTATAAGAACTACTGTACATAAGAGCATGTTTTAGAGACAAAGCAAAAATATCTTGTGTACGTTAAATGGGTGTCATTTGCCATTTTAATAACACAGCAAACTGAAAAAAGATGCACTGTATATTTTCTAAATAGAACAAAGTGTGTATTTATTTTCCACGAGGGTCATTGGAGAGAATGTCATGCAGATATTAGAGTACTATTACAAATAGGAATCTTTCCACGCCTGAAAACTTTTAAGCAAGTGTGTCGTCCAGTGCTGTGCGTGAGTTCATGTAGGAAGAAAAATGTAGCCGCATGCTTGTTACGTAAAACCCTGTGCTCAGAGGTTTTTGTTTGGTGCAATTTTTTTTGCCATTTATTTTATTATTGTACCTTTTGAAATATTAGCATTAAGTTCATTTTTTTATTATACTACAGTTTATATTTTTTATTCAAGAAAATATGTTCTATGTATGTTTTTATTTGAAGCAGAGGGTCTCCAAGTCTGCTGGAAGATTTCTTTCCTTTTTTTTTTTCTTGTAACAAAGATTTAAATCGATGTTACTCAGAAAATGCTCATTTCAATAAATAAATAAAATTATTCTAGGAGTTATTTATGCCAGCACTAACCAAAGCGGAAGTCTTTGAACCATAATCAATTTTAGGCTGCATTTTCAGGGCTAAACTGTGAATGAGCCCTAAACACTGATCACAAATCACTTGGAGACCTCTCTTTTTTCTTTGTTATTGTTGCTATACATTTTAATTAGAATATTATTTTTCTCTTTCTGTTTAACCAACCTGATACCTGTTACAGATTGTGTCTCTTTTACTCTGTTAATATACAGTAGGTGTACTTGTGAACAAAATAAATTAATAAGATAAAAACTAAAAGCCATAAAACTGAAGCACTAACTCTTTAGAGCCTAGCTGAATAGCTAGAGTTTATTTATGAGGGAAGAAGAATCTGACGTCTTCATTTTTTCATAATTGACGTTCCTTCTTACAGCATTCCACTGTATATGTGAGCGTGGAGAACAGCTGCAAGATTAAGAGATTGAGTACGTCTTTTGGTTTTTTTTTTACTTTTAGAGTGGCTGATGTGATATTTTCTTTGCTTATCTTACAGGATTGTGTTTGTCAATATTTTATTTGCAAAAATAAATATTAAAATATATTACTGTATTAGGTTTTTGGTAATATAGCTAAAACTATATTTATGGGAGTCTGTGATATATAAAGCTGAGTGAAAATATTAAGGAACCTGAGTCAGAGTTCTAGTTCCCTTTCCTCCTGTTTTGGAGAATGTACCTACTCATAAGAATCAAATATCAATAATAAAACACACTCTAACATTCTTTAGACACTTATTACAGCTTCTTTTTTTAATCAACTGCTCTTCTTAAAATAATGATTTAAAAACAATCACAATGAACCTGTTTAATGTAGGATTTAAGGATAAGTCCCTCTGACAAAACTATGCATATGTTTGTTCTCTATGCTTTTGTTTACGATATCAAACTTTACTTTCTTGCCCTGAGTTATATAGGATGACCTCACACATTTGTACACTAAATGCAAGGTTGGATCAGACAATGTCTTTAAATGAGGACACAGACATATGCCGATGCCGCTCAATTAGAAAAGCAACATTTATAACAGCATTCCTTTTTATTAAAATATTTTATGATTAGTAAAAGGTTATTTAGAAAATTATCCACCCCAAACCTTATTTGCTATGTTAGGCATTACATATTTATATCGGCTTGGACCTAAGGAATGTTAACATTGCAATATATGAAATATGGCTAATTAGAATTTTTTTTTTCTTTTTTTTCTTAAACCCAAAATGATTTGAAAAGTTAGAAGCTGGATCTGAATCTCCTTGACAAGGAGTCTAAAGCTTCCTTCTCCAGGGTCAATTTTGGCTGTTTGGCCCTTTCACATTGGCTCCAAATAACTTTCAACAAATATTTCAAATAAATATGTAAGATTATAAATGAATATAAACTTGTGTATATTGACAATACAACTTAATTTATCCAGTATTTCATCCAGTATATATTTAGAAAAAAAAAGGCCAAGAAGACTGCACTGAACATTTTATTTAATAAAATTAAATGTTTAGGTGGCTTTTTGGGTTGAAAATGTTACTGACCACTGGCCCAAGTAAAGGTTGCATGATAAACATGCTAACCAAGATGCATAGAGGCTAAAAATATCAACATGAGTTACATCAAATGTTTTAGACGAGGACAATAAAGCGGGGCCATTTAATCCACAATGTGTAAAACATGGTTTCCCTGCTTTTACTCTAGGCAAGAATGCAAACAAGCCCATATTTCCAAACAATTTAAATATTTATTAAAATTATTTAAAAAAAGTTACTACAAGTATTTTTTAGATTAAACTGCCACCTCGGTTTTGACAAGAGCCCTAAATGTGTTGCATAAAACTGATGCTCCACATTGTCTTAACTCAATACGGTAATAATCGCCATCTCATCAATGCCATTGACTGTGACCAAATGCTGCACTGAGAGCAGCTTAAGAAATTGTTTTCAATGCATTTTAGAAACACTGCCACAACCTGAGTACAGCTGCCAGTATTCATCTCCACATTTTTAGGTCTACACAGCTAATGTAAAAGGAAAAAACAATAAAGGAAAAACCAAAACATTTAAAAACGTGTTATAACAGGTACACCCATGGCACAATTATGAGAGTTTTAATTCATTTTTAAAGGTTGGTTACCACTACACCACTACTACAACTATCACACAATATTGGAGACTGACATGTTCTATGTGCACATGCTCTTGTGCCTGTAGAAAAATTAAATGAAGACATTGCTGAAAATTACAATGTTTTACAGATTTTATTAAAGGTCTGTGTTTGTTCCTGTTTTTTGTATTTGTTTATTTTTTTATGTATAAGTAACACATTAAAATATAAAATAATGGCTAGTGATCTGTTTCCCTGAATGCTGTATACATGTATACATGTATACATTCATGTATGCACAAATAGCTCTGAAGCTGCCCTGCTTCAGCTGTGCAAAGACAGATTTAGATCACTGCTCACATACATGGGATTTTCTTTATATGTTTTGCTTTGTATTTGAACATACAGTGGGATTTATAAAGGGAAACTGGGCAAAATTCAGTCCATTGACAGTCAGAACCTGATGTAGATACCCATAAGCCAGCTCTTGATAACATATGTGTTCTGTTAGTAAATATATTTCTTTTTTTATCTTTTTTGTGCATAAGTGTAATCATTTCTGTTTTTTTTTTTTTACTCTATGCATCTTTAATGGCTAGAGTTGTGTTTGAAGCGACAGATCTGTCTCCATGCTCTATTCTCATTTGCTTTATGTTCGTGTCCTTGTCTGCTTTCGCTGTAACTTATTCTCTCCTTGTCATCAAGCTAAACAGGAACCTAAATCTGCTATTGCAGAGCATAAAGAATGCCGGCCTTCATGTTTACAACATGGACATATTGTATACTGCCAAACATGCAGGGCCGAACCAAAATCCACAGTACTCAGTTCTCCACTTATCTGTGATGCAGCTGTATTCCTAAGACCTCTTTGTTTTCCAAGCTTCACCTTCTTCTCTTCATCCTCTTTTAAAGCATTGGAGGACAGTCAGGTTACGTCCCCTAGCCGTGTTTCTTCGTGTCTAGTGTTGTGGTGCGCGTGTTCATGTCAGTACTTGTGCCTACTGTGGATCGCATGCTTTAGCCTTTGACTGGACACAAACGTTGCTAAAAACGCCTCCTGACCCTTATGTGGACATACGTTGGGAATCCTTCCGAAGTTATCAAGGGAACCAAATAACTTATTACAAAATTTATCATATGTGTTACCAGTTCTGTAAAAAACAAATAGGAAATAAAGGCCTTTTAATAACCACGAGTTGTTTGTGTTTACTATGGGTTATGTTTAAGCTCTCAAAGCCAATTGATCTTTTCAGATTTTCTTAATCAAGGTATGTTGGAATGTGTGTACACTATTCCATAACAAAAATCAGTCCCATTAGCACATCCAGAAGGGATTCATAAGCAGCACAATTTCCTCTGTTTTGTCCCCTTGTAGATGTGTAAGTTCTGCAATGGATTCACAAAGTAGATTACACTAAATACATGCAGGAGTTAACGTGCCATTTAAGACCAGCAGATGGGGGAAATTTACATGCATTCTGCTTCAGGTCACAGTTGTCCTTTCTGGATCCACAGAGACAGCAAATGCTGAATAATATGCATTGATTATCTTTTTTGTTGTTGTTGTTTTTACACATTTTTTAATTGCTGTGTTTTAAAAAAAGGAGACCCATTATATTTGCCCAGAGAATGTAACAATTGAAACATAAGACTGAATAAAAACTACAGAAAAAGAGTTATAAACCACTCAGTCCTGTTGCGGATTATTGAAATGAAACATTAATCTGATTATAGAAAATTATTTTTTAATTAATATGGATATAGTGGGCTAATAATCAAATCATTAAAATTTAAAGTTGTAGATGTCAGTCAATTATTAATTTAAAACATGAAAAATTAAATACTGTAAAGCATTAATTGTCTTTTAAACTTTTGGAACAATCACCTGACTAAACATTTAAGACTTTAGCTTAAATAAAAGTAACAGTTACAAATGAAACTTTTCAACATCATGCAACACCATGCTTTTGTTCTTTTGTTTATATCATTAGCATAACCATTATTTTTGCCATTTGCCAAATTCATAATGTCATGAATCCACTTTAATTAAATTGAAGCCTAGATCTATGAAATCAATATTTATGAAAAATAAAAGTGATAACTCTGTCTTCAGATTTCAATAAGTCCATTGCTGTTTCCTTCTGTGAAACAGGAATGGACTTCAAAATAAATGCATATTATTAGATATGAGCAATACAGAAATATTTGCTCAATTGAAAGATGGACCCCTAATATCTTTGATAGCGCCCCACCACCCTCACTTTAAATGAAACACTTGAATGATATGTATTAAAATGCCCAAAAAAGAATCTATAGGTAAACATTTTGAAATTATAATCTGTATTTTTTTTTTTTGGCTTCTAGGACTTCCATAGGTCATCCTTTTCTAAAAAAGGAAATTAGCAATTTACAGTTTTTCTAATCTTTTGTAAGTTTTTTTTTAGCTTAGAACTGATTAGCATTACTGCAGCTTCTTTTCCTCCTTTATGAATATGACTTTTTGGACAGTACTGGTAAATATCCAGATCATTGCCAAGCTTTATGTGACTGTTGTTGAAGAAAAAGGTAATATTGATCCCATACTATACAATAGCATTACAAACATGGACAGCATTGTTCGTATCTCTCTTTTAATGAAAGAAAAATGTTTATAATAAATAAAGGATTTATGAAAATAAAGAAATGAAATGAAGACACTGCTTTACAACCATGCTTCAACAGAATACTAAAAAAATAAAATCATAAAACAGGCCTGGACAAAATGATGGTACCCTTAACTTAATATTTTGTGGCAAAACCTTAAATTTAGCCTTCTGTCAGCAACAATAACGTTACCCCAGTCTTCTGCAGATCATTTATTTTAGTCTTATAAGATTTCACATTGTTATTGGGTGTTTTCTTATATGGAGTCAAAAGTCAGTTTTTCTAATGTCTTTGAATAAATTTAAATACTAACCTTTTATATATGGTTTATAAGCTCAGTGCTGCTGGCAACAAAGTAATGCTGCCCAGAAACATTTCAAAAAAATAAAAACTGTGTTATTACCAAACATGCTCTCCTAAAACTTCCAATTTTAGGAGAGCATGCAGACAAGCTGCTTGTCAGGACCTAAAATACTGTTGCATTGAACTTTGCGTGTGCGTTCCATCAGATAACGGCACTGTTTTTGGTTGAAGATATAGTTTTTTTTTTAATTATATTTAAAATGTTGCATAAGATCAGCCATTAAATTAAAACTCTTCTGAAGCAACAAAATGAGACCTATGTGTAAAAATTACTGTTTTTCTATAAAGGAATTCATATTGATCTGATTTTTTTTATTGACAGAGATGTCTCTTTAGAATGCAGTACTTTCAGTGAGATTTGGGATGACAAATTTTATAATTTTTTTTTTTTTTGCGTTCAGGGTTGTTTGTAAACAAAATCAACTGAATGGATGTGCCCTGTACTCTGTCCTTTTGGTTTAGAATAAATGTGTTTTGTGTCTCTTAGAATGTTGGGGAGTTTTGAAGATATGAATTCCATATCTGTGAGGCACTAGACTTTGCTTAGCTAAGTTATATCAGAGGAAATTCTCAATTCACCCAAACCTAATCCCAAATATTTATGTTTAGGTTTTACTACTCTTTATAGGAACACATTTTCTATTCTCAACATAATATGGGAGACATTTTTAACATTTATTTCCAAGTCTATTAATTAATTCCAGTAACATAACCAACTGTTAAGAACTAATAAATAAATGTGCTGCAATGTCTATCAACAACATGAACCATCAGTACAACAGTATATGATATAATATATTACTGTGTAAGGTTAAGCAAACCTTAGTTTGCTTGAACTGGACCTTAAACGTACAATATCTTTTGGGGGAAAAAAAGACTCCTCATTTTTCAGCATTTTCTCAAATGACAACCACAAATTTTAATTTATTTATTTGGGATTTTATATGCAGAGCATCTTAAAGTAACTCATAGCTGTAAAGTCGTGAGAAAAGGATACATGGTTTTCATTTGTGTTGAGAAATACACGTTCAACTCCTTTCATCATCACACCTTAAAAAACATTGTGCAAGTTCCTGCTTTCATAAGTCAATGTATACAGTGGCTGAAAGTTGCAAATACATAAAGTACTGCAAACACTATTGATCTATTTGCAGTGTGTTTGCACCTTTTGGCCACCCTTAATTTAATACCACTGATCTATGAAAGTATTTTTCGAAGTCGTCACACAATAAACAGCATCATGGAAACCAATGAATACACCAGGTAGGTCAGGGATAGAGTTATTGAAATGTTTATAGCTGGGATAAGTTATTAAAAAAAAGGGTCCATAAATCAAAAGTTTGGAACAACTGAAAATCTATCAAGACTTCACCATCCTTCTAAACCTCTAGACCAGGCAAGGGGAGAATTAGTACTGAAAGTAACTTAGAGGTCAACGGTTACACTGGAAGTGCTGCAAAGATACACAGTTCCTACCTCAAAGACTTGCAGTTTTAATATAAAAAAAGGTGACTGAATGCACATTTTTCAAATATTTAAAAATTAATGTAATCCATGTTCTTCAACTACAAGGATGTGCACCAGTTTTTGTTGGTCCATGCAAACTATCCCCTAATAATACATCAAAGTTTGGTGCTGTAAAGGTGTAAAGAGGGTGTTTATGCTTTATGAGAAACAGCCTTCCAAGTGGTAAACTTGGTCCCTTGTGGATATGAAAAACACTTAAAGGAAAATAATTATAACTAAACTTGTGAATAATTAAATAGTTGTATGAAGAGTGAAGCACCAGAAGAAAAGCTGTAGATATCTTTTCACTTGGACAGCTTGCTGATGACTCGAATGAGAGCCCCATTCTCATCCTTCAGCCTCTGGTTGTCTGACTTAAGTTCTTTTAAGACCTGTGGAAAGAAAATAGAAATATGTAATATTAGAGTGGTTACATTTACCTTGTATATAGTTGAAAAAACTTTAGTAGCAGTTGTTTATGATACAAAAAAAAATAGGTTTTGCAATGACCAAATCAACCACTGTAATTAAAAATATTCTAAAAGAACCACAACATAGTGGCCAAGAGTTTTGGTAGAGTTTGAGGCTATTGGTGTTTGCTTTGTAAGAATTGGTCATGCGTTGAGAAGTGAAATGACAGGATGCTCTGAAAAAAGTTGTGAATAAAAGTGAGAAAATTTAAAGTTTTTAAATCTGAATCTTAAGGGAAACAGTGACTAAAAACATGTATTCCTCTTTAAAATATGTTTATCTTGAAAGATAAATCCAGCAACAACTCTTTACTCATACAGCACAAGATACAGTACAACTCCAAAACAACAAATTGGCAAAAATAATCGGACATGTCCTGAATTTTTTTGTCTGTTTTCTGTCATAATGACCAAAACTGAGCAATGATAACACTTGAACCCGAATGCTTCTAAAGAAGTGTATTTCGGCTTACACTTTGTAAAACTACAAGAACATTTTTTTTTTTTATTAAAGTGGCTGAATACACCTGTGCAGTGCCATTAAAAAAGCCCCCTAAGAGAAAGAATACAAAACACAGTTCTCGGATAATGATGAATTTTAAGTAAGCTCCTCATGATAAATTAATCTCCCCCCAAATCTAATAACTAGACATGAAAACGGGTCAAGGATGAAAAAGGAGAGAACTATTTCTCACTCCCTTCAAAGACAGAGTTCCATGTTCATCACAGTAGTTTGGAAATTATTTTCCCTAGAAAATTTGGATCATCTACATATTTCTACATATCTACATATATTGTGAGGTAGAAATTTGTGTTTTTTACAGCCAGCAGTTCTGATCATGGATCTCTGTTACAGATGGTATTTTTGCTGAGCCTTCCAAGGTTTACTCTTTTGTGGTCACTGGCTCTTGATGTGTGCAAACTTTTCTTCTTTGTGCTGTCAGAAAGGTTCTAAATAAATCATTTATTGATTCTACAGGCCTGGTAGCTATGTGGGTGAAACCATTAACGCTGCACTCAAAATATAAGTCACAGTTAATTCATAATCTGCCAAAAAGGCAATTATATTTTTACATTAAACCAAGTAAGTTTTTATAGCTATTTTTGCCCATGATAAATTTCAACATAAAGAGAAGGACACATTTTTTATAATCTCACATCATCAACCAAAAAAATAAAGTAGTCATAATGGCTCATATGAATGTAGTTTATAAACAGTAGAACTTTGTCAAATTTGGTTCTTTAAACTGATGTTATTGGTTACTTTACAATATGTGGATAGTACCTGTGTGAAATCACGATAAACAGTATGAAAATAGATTAAGCACTCATTTGAATATCTGAAATAGTTTTAGTTTTTACACTACTTTCATGTAGTACATGCATTAATTGTTCCAATTTTGATCTCCCTGTATAAATACAGATGTCAATACAGCAGAATTTTTTTTTATTGCTCATAATAAAAGCGAATTCCACCTTAGAACCATTTATTCTTTTAAAACTTTTTAATAACATTTGAAATGTAAAAATGTTGAAAAAAGTTAAAGACCTTTTAGAATTTTATTCTGCTGGTTCTGATTGAATAGTAGATATTTGATTTATTTTAATTTAACTGAAACTCTGCTTAAGGGGATGGTCCTAAGAGCCTATCAGTGTTTCAAGGCTTTATTTATTATTATCAATCCAATAACCCACTGATGACTTAATGGCAGTAAATGAGTGTAAGATATTAACAATTCTAAAAACGTACAGGCTTCAAATCTAATTAAAATCAAGGATAAATGTGATCCCCAAAATTAAAGAAATATAAATAAAATGCAATGCAACACATTGCAAAAATAATTGATTAGACAATCATACAAATATTGAAAACATGTCAGTTCTGTAAAAATCACAATGCTCCAGTAGCCTGCAATGATCTGGAACACAACAGATCTTTATCCACATTTCAACTTAAAGCAAATAGTTAATTAGTCATTTTAAATTAGTATAGCTATTGTTATAGCAGTTTTTCCATGGGCAAAATTTTGCTCTTTTAATGCCATTAGGAAAAAATTAAAAACATGCAAAAAAGCAAGCATTCAAAGGGGTTTGGGACCTGCCTGAGGGGAGGACAGTGGAGGAGGAAGGGTGGAAGCTGTAAAAGTGCCAGAAGGAAAGAGAAGACTAAAACTTAAAGGGCTGAAGAAGAGAACAATAGGGAGGAAATAGGCTAGAAGATCCCGAGGATCAGAGGTCCTCTGTCTCTGGCATGGAGGCTGTCTCAGAGAGGCGAGTTAGGACACGCAGCATGGCTCTGTTCTCAGCCAGGAGACACTCGTTCACTCTCCGCAAAGCCTGGACTTGGGCCAAGGCTGGGAAAGCCTGCATACATGAGGAGAGAGATATAGAGAGGAGCAAGCAAACAGAGCAGGGGGGAGAAAGGCATTTGCAAAAAGAACACTGACAAAGTCCATCTTCAATCATACAAGCATGCATACACAGAGGAAATGAAATAGCGAAAGTTGCATCTAAATATACATTTACCAAATAGGGATTATTTGAAGGGATACCAAAAAAATAAATAAACAAATAAAATATGCAAGAGAAATTACAACATCTAAATCTTATGGAGAATGCCTTGTTTGAAATTGGCCTTGAATCATTGTTCAGAGACATTCACAAAGCTATACTAAATCTTTGAGACTTTGCACAAGAGTTCACTGCAATAAACTAACAAGCAAAGTATTAAACAATCCCCCTCTTTATTCTTGGCTGCCTGTTTGAGGTTAACCTCAGTGTAGCCCGAAAGAAAAGTCTGAGGTTTGACACTATGTCTGTGGGGAAACCACAGAAGTCAGACAGATGGAGTCAATGGAAAGCTTCAACACTCACTCTGACAAATTGATATTGATTTGCCTCTTTCATCATATGATCATTAGACAAGTTACCAAAAAACCTTGGCCAGCTAGGAACATGTTTGTTTTTGTGAATATAAAAAAGAGGTGTTTACATTAAAACTCTGTTTACTGGTTAGAAAACCAAACAGACTCATTAGCCTAATTTAAAACACTCTGGGTTTAGAGTTCAACAGCAAAAGCTGAAAAATTCTCCTGGCATTTGACCAAAACATTTCAGCTTTTAGCCAACTTTCCAAGTCCTTGGCAACAGAAGTGGAGAAAAAAAGTCAGTGTGAGGTAAGCATATGTAATGACCGGTATCCTTTATTCCTCCTGTTTAAAATGTAGACCTTTGATATGGAGTAGGGAAGAATTAACTTCTAAGGTTCTGCAAATTATTTTGATTCTGTCAAGAATAATTCAGCTATATTATGAGAATGTTTATAAAAGACACACACAGGATATTTAAAACAATTAGGAATGATCAGAGTCACAAGCAAGAAGCAGCTGAAACTACTGCATGTATAACATAGAACCTGTCTTCTTTTTTTTTTTTTTTCTGGAAGACACATTGCCCAGACAAAACCATACGAAAGATAAAACTCTGCTTGTTGCAAGAAGAATAACAGCCTCCACAATTTGGACAGTGATGGGCTACTATTGCAATGATGTTGTTTTATTATTATTTTAAGCTGCTCATACATAAAATCAATAGCTTTGATATTAAAGCACTTAATTTATTTACCTATATAGTAGCAGAATCCAACATCTCTATCCAGGTACATTACTTGAAACATAATTAGTTTCAGTAATTTTCAGTTCAAAAACTGAAACTCATACATAGATTTATCAAACATGCAGTGACATATTTAATTTTTAGTTTTTGTTCATTTTAAAGATTATGACTCACAGCTGATGGAAACCAACAGTTTGTCAGATTAGATATGTGAGTATTACATAAACCATAAAACAGGCCTTTCTACTTTTTCTGGAAAAACAAAAAAAAACAGTTTTGGTTTGGGTATTAGAACCCATTAATATGTTCAAGAGTAGTTAAGTAAGTTAAGTAGTTAAGTAGTTAATTAGAATTGGGCAATTTTAACAAGTCATAGCATCACTTATTTATCTGAAACTAATGGACAAACAGCACTCAAACTGTTAATTATTGTTTTATGATATCAATGTAGTGAGCTGTGCGATTATAGAACTATAGATTAAGAAGTAAACTTGTGGACTAGCATTCTGAAACAAGCTTTACACATTTTTAAACACATTCTCTTTAAAACAAATAGTTAATTAGTAAAACAATTCAACTTCCAGTTAAAATATAAATTCTTTGATTTGGCTACTAATATCCAACTAGGCTACTATGGAAAATTTAAACGAATAGAAAGAAAAATATTGAGCTAAAGAATAATAATGATTGTAGGAACAATTAATAATAACAATTAACAGTAAAAGAAAAGCAATGGAGTGATAACACGAGTGTAAATATGTATCTTTAAGCAACAAGGTCTTATATGAGAAATGCTCAGTTCCCATGAGACACCACATTTCCAAGTATGTTGCAAACCTTTGTGTTGACAGGCAATTGCTTTGGAAGTGGCTGAGTAAGTTTTACTCCCTAGGAGTATTTATTTTAGTCTTTTAGACTTTACAAAACTTGAATTGATTTTTCATTTTGGGTAAAACCTATGGACTTTTTGTATTTTTACTAAAACAAATATCTATCTGAACAGGAAAAATAATTTTGCTCAAATAATGTTTCAAAAATGATATGTTGATTTATGATTATTAATGTTAATTTGTAATTTTAAATCAACTAGCCTTCAGAGTAAGGATGACTGCAAAAAATTGACATGGAATTGCACTTTGGTGAATAATCAGCTGTTGTGAAGACGTCACACCAGGGGTAAGCTAAAAATAAAGGAATTAACAGCTGCAGGGCTGTTTATCAACCCCTCTAAGTCACAGCGGCAAGCATCAATGGTAAAAATAAAGTACTTATGTTTATGAGAGACATTCTACAAATGAACATAGTATAAACTGAACTACCAAGGTAGTTAGCAGAGCAGACATAAGCTACCCTCTTAGCATTAGTAAAACTTTAGCTCTTGCCTTAATATCTCAGACAGGAAACAAATACTTTAGCACGCCTAAGAACAATGTGCACATATTCTTTGCAGGTTAGGAAAATAAGAGGATGGGGAAAAAATTAATAAATAAACAAGCATTTGTTACCTCTCAATGAAATAAGGCCTGCAGCCGTAGCTGTTAGATTGGGTTACAGCAGACTTTTGTAAAAATAACACAATGAAATTAGCAATATTTAAATTGTGTCATCTAAAACCAACTTCTTTGCTTTGACAATCTCTCTCTCTGAACCTTTAACGGGCATTTCCTCCCTAATGCAGCCTGAGGAGAGCTGTGTGTATTTAAGCCCCTGTTTGCTCCCCTGGCTGAGTGCCACACACTTCAGCAATGTCCTATTATGGCCTACACAATTATGGGTAGGACTACTGACTTAACAGTAGTCCAAGCATACTGTCCAAAATAGGGCAAAACCACTAATCTTTATTGCTATTAGTAAGTACTTTTTCACATAGTCTTTCCTCCAAGTATATCAATGACGATTTAAGTTGAACAAATAATAAAGTGTGCTGAGAAAAGTACACAACTAAAAGAAAGAAGTTTAGTTCTGGGCTACACCTGTCACATTTCTGATTTCATGGCTGGTGCAGGTCAAGTGTTTTCTATTGAGATAAAAAGGCAGTGTTGGGATTACCACCTTTTCACATCCTCAAAAGCATAGACACAAGGTTAAATGAGCATTCCATGATGACAATTAAAAAGGGCAAGCACACTTGAGGCGATGTTAATACTAAGGAATCAGATGTCGATGTAGTTAGTTAGAGATTTGCATTCATAAATCTATGAATTAGTTTATGGGCTTTTTAGTTGGCCCATATTTTAGGGTAAAAACTTCTTTACTATCTTTCCCAGATTTCTGTCCAGCATATTTCAGAGTCGTGAGCCATCACAATAAAATTTTACTACCATGTTGACATTTAGGCCGACACTAGTTTTTTAAAGCATATCAGCTCTTTGACTAACATCTGGGGTTCCTCCCCAGGGTTCTGTATTGCACATTTCAGCCTAACAGCTGAAAGTATGTTAAAATTACATTGAACATACACAGTCAGGCCATGAATTTCAATGAGTGTAGTGACTCTGTATTCAAACACATTTACCTCCTTATTTTCATATAAAGGCAAGCAAAGTGTTATGAAAATGTGAACATTGCACCCTTAAGACAATGTCATAGACTTACAGTCAGATGAACACACAAGCTACTGCCCTACCAATAGACACAGAGCAAACTTTGAAGGTAGGGAAAGAGCATTCAAGTTTGAAAGGACCCGAAAACAGCTGCTGTGTTGAGCAATGTGTTAATATGCAATACTGTCGTTTGCACATTTAGGGGGGAAATGAACTTTGTGTCCCAAGAAGGAGAAAGGTTGAAAGAAATAATAGTGGGCTTTATTTAAAAAGAGACATAAAAAAGAAAGAAGATATAGGTGTAGTGCATGGAATAATAACGAGAAAAATCTAGATAAATAAGTATTTACAACCACCTTCCGATGCTCAGCTCAAAAATATCCTTAAGACAGCCATGTTTCCTATGAAAAACTCTGATGGATTGTTGGTTTTCATTAGCTGTATATCATAATCAACCACATCTACAGAAATAATTGCTAAATATAATAACCCTTTAATATTCTGCTTTAGTACTGTAGGTTGTAATCAATAAACAAGTGAGATGTGCCACTTTTCGGATTCTATATTTGCTGCAGATTATAACTGAACAGTTCCCCCTTGTGTTGGAGACTATATAGCTGTCTCAGTGCGAACAAACAGGTGTGACAGAGGTGCAAACAACAGTGGTCTCTTGAGGTGCCTCATACCAAAAGTTGTGACTCTCAAACAGTGAGGTACTGATAGAATTAAAAGGATAACAAATGCAAGTGTATGCATGCCCTGTACTTTATCAAAGCATTACATGTGAGGTGATGGGTGGGTTTTAATCTTTCATAAGCATCAGGGCGAGCACTCACCATCCCCCTTCCCTGAGAAAGCCATGTCTCAGGGCTGGTACCCACAGCGGAAGCGCATTGTGGGTGCCTGCTGAAGGGAACCAGGATAAAGCTGGGTTCAAACACCGGTTGCTTGTATTTCATGCTGCTTTTTTGATATATTATACCTTTATAAACTATTGCTTAATTGGATTTTGTTCTGACATCTAAGCCAACTAGTTTAAATGCATTAAGCTTAAAAAAATGTTGTTGAAATTTTTAATTACACGTAATGAATTTAAATATAATAACATAATCCTACACTCAAACGTGAATTTTGTCTGATGCTGTTCCCTGGGTTTCTATGTCAGGCAGAATGTATTCTGGAATGTCTCACAAGAGAAGCTCTTGATGGGTTTTGGTATTCAGATGGAACTAGGTCACAATGTTCACCCGGACAGTGGAAGAATTGGAGCAAGGGAGCTGCAACACAAGGCAGGAAGTGGCATTGCACAACAGTGTGTCTAATGAGTCTGAAGCGTAATCCTTCTCCTCCCCTTGACTCCAAATCCACTTCACTGACCACCAAGTTTATAGAGGGCTATATGTTTGCTCTGCTCGGTGAAAACACTTTATAGCTAGTCTATAACAGGACTGGGAGCAGCTCTGCATTAGCGCCATACTGTCAAGAACTGCTCATGGTGAAAACATCAATGAGACAAATGAATTGTAGCTTGTTTCTCTGACAAAAACAGGTATACTGTATAATCCCAGGGTGGCTGCACAGAATTTGGTGTTACAAAGACTGACCTTTACTTCATCTTCCATGTCTGTGACTCTTTTCTCCAGAGCTTGTTTTTCCTGTAAATAAATGAAACAGAAAAAGAGTATCAGAGGAGGACAACCACAAAAATATCAAGGTATCCACATCTTGATATTCAGTGAAAAAGCGTGATCAAATTATATACCTTGGAATCAACCAGTTTCAAAAAACTTACCCTTTTCTCTGTTTCAAGAACTGTAGATCGCTCTGAAAGTCTGTCCTGCCTCTACAAATTTGAAAAGCAGATGTTACATGCAATTGATCTCTAGAATCATTTTGAGAAGGTTTTTCCCCATTTATCATCAATACCTGCTTGTTCATTTCACTGCTGTAAGCTGCTTATTTCACTGTTGGAAGCTGTAACCAACATCATTTCATTTCATTTCAAAATGATAATAAAGGTTTTCTAAGTCTAAGTTCTTGCAGTATTACAGAGGGACCGGTGCCTATTTCTAGCAGCAATTGAATAAGATGTATGGTAGATCCTTGAGATGTTGCCAGTCCAACACATGACATACAACCATGCACAGGCACATTTATGCATATCTGCAATTCAGAGTAATAAGGTAACCAAACTGTCATGTATTTACTGTAGATCATGGTAGACAGCCTTTCCCAATTTATGGAATGAACATGTAAAAAGTATGAGGAAACAGACAGGCTGGAGCTTCTTGCAGCAAGGCAACACTGTCGTTTTAGCATCGTTGGTGAAAAATATGATGGAGAAAATTTATTTTCATTTTCTGATTACATGTCTTTGTGAATTCGTAAAAAGAAATTACCTGAGCAACTTTCTCCAGTTGGGAACGGATCTTCACTAACTCCTGTTTGCTGTCCTGCAGCTTAGACTTGAGTCTTTCATTCTCTTGCAAAGCTTCTGTATACATCTAAAATATAAACAGAAATGAAAAAAAAGGAAGTAGCTTTGAATAAGTTTTACTTTAAACTTTAAATTAATTATTGCAGATAAAAAAAAGTTTAATTGATAAATAACAAATAACATGAAATTGGTATACTGTAGCTTTAAGGTGCTTTATTTTTGCGCTGCCGTAGCGCAAAGATGTCTTCCTCCATGGCTGCGAGACCCGCTCCTATGTAATTATAAATAACAAATTCTAAGGCAACCATTTCTGACTGTATATCCCTGTAATTATTACACACTGTAGCTTTAAGACTGGGGTTTCTTTCCTTTTTGTGCTTGTAATTGTCGGGTGTTTTCCAGTTTAAATATTGTCATGATTATTATCTTTGAGTATTTTCTCCTGGGCCCCATTTGCAAATGCAGGGTTAAAGCTATTCTAAAATATGTCCTGGGTTTTTTTTTTTTTTATTACTGTCTGGGGTGACCCTGTTAGGTAAATTTTTCCCTAATTCTTTGATGTACATAGCATAAGAAAGAGATGGAAAAGGTGTGTCCTTTTCTGGAGTGGCCAGTTGTGGTCAGAGTTGGAATATTCCATAAATATCTCTGACAGAAGAGAAATAAGTAGGTATTTTATCATTTCTAGAAGAAAAGTTCTTCAGACATGTTTTAAAAAATTCATCAAATTTAACGGGACCATTTTCATGTTGGAATCTTTAGGTGATTAAGGTGATGCATGATTAGAACTTGACCAGACAAAAAGGGAAACAAAATGTACCCACATAACAGTTTAACTTGATTGCATGACCTATCTGATTCAGCAATAAAAAAATATCACAGTAACACAGGAGGTAATGGATTAAACATTTAAAAATATCAACACACTGATCAGTTTAAGAAAAGTAAAACATGAAATAAAAAAAAAATAATGTTTTCTATGCACCAACCCATCCTATGATTTCAGGGTCCTCGGCTTCAACACAGCTGACTCTAATGTGAGCTCATTTGCTGAGATTGTAAGATAGAGTGGCAGGATTTAAGGACCCTTAAGGATTTGATTTTAAGATCCCTGATATAGGGTTATCATTGTATTCTTCTAATTGCAAATGTAAAAGTCTTAAAACCATGCTGGTCTAGCATACCTTGCATTCATATAACTTTAACCTTTTCACATTTTGTCACATGGGATGCACACACCTTTACTCAGGAGTGTGTTAAAGAAGATTAGTAAGGCGATATCATCACGAAGAGCCAGGAACACACAATACAAGGATAAGTTGTAGAGAAATTTAATGCAGGGTTAGATTATAACACAAGATCTTTAGTTCCTATATCTCACTCTGCACTCATTAATCTATCCTCTAAAAATAAAAAAAAAGAAAATTGCACAACAGCAAACCAACCCAGACAGAACCAATAACCTGTAATTACAAATCCTAACAAGACAAGCTTTTAATGATAGAAGTATCCAAAAGGCCTAGTGTAAATCTGATGGAGCTGCAGTGATCCATAGCTTAGGTGGGAGAATATGCTGACAGCACAACCACAAGCTTTGCATTCAACAAATGTGTCATCTATGGAAAAGGGGCCAGAAGGCCATTATAACAGAGGCCATTTTAGATCCATCAAAATGTGTCCTACAAGATCACAAAACCTAACAGCAAATTTTTTTTACTGTCAGCTGAAACCACATTTGTACTGTTACTTACACTGACTTAAATGTTTAGTACTGTAAGTAACTACAGCCTTTTTGTGAGGGATTGCTGTTGAGTCAATGCAATCAGCTTGTTTTTCTAACAGTAGATAGAAAACTTTAAACTAGTCTAACTGTATTATTTGATTAAACAGTATCTGAATTGAAGTAAATTGAATTAACACACCATTTATATTGGATGCTGTTGAAAGAGATTTTTTATGGATGTTACGATATGATATGCAGCAGTTAATGAAGGAAGGAAGGAAGGAAGGAAGGAAGGAAGGAAGGAAGGAAGGAAGGAAGGAAGGAAGGAAGGAAATCCAGCTAAAATAGCACTGATTTCTGCCAATATCTTTTCATAGGAATGTATTTTATTTTTTTGTTTTGTTTATTTTTTCAACTCTGTCACTTATTCTATTATTTTTGTACACTTTTTATGGCCCACATTTGTGTGACCACGTTTGCTATAGTCTTCTGTTGTTGTAACACCACAATTTCCCCAGTGTGTGACAATAAAGGGATTTTCTATTCTACTTTGTATTCTATTCTAAAAGTTAAATTACTCAGTTCATCACTGTTTTAAATATTCAAGATTGAATAAAAAGAACACGATTCTTTAATCTGATACTGTAGGTCCCAAGGGCTTTCATTGTAATGTAAATTTTAGGGAATGAATAAAATATTTTAGGCAGTAAGACTGTTCAAAACAGCAGCTTAAAATTAGTCAGAGGGAGGGCTTATTTGATTGGGTTACTACCTTCTTATAGTCTTTGGCAGTGGAGTCTTCCTCCTGTTTATTGAGAGCTGCCAGCCTCGCCTCTCTTCTTGTGTAAGAGCTGGTGCGGCCCAAAGGTTTGTCTGTGGCATTTTCTCCAGTAGAGTCATATCTGAAGTCAACAGAGCTCAACCTCAGTACACAACACAGCTGTATATGTTAAAAAAAAACACACACACACACACAAAACTTCAATAAGTAAAATGTTTTATCCTTACCTCAACAGTCTTTCATGCTGGAAAAGAAAAAAAAAGACATATCAGGATCATTGAGAATCATAGCTGAGAACAACACAGTTTAAACACTTCTGAAGTGGATCCAGATTTGTTTGTTTGATAGTCAAAACAAAGGCTGAGCAGATAAATATTTTCCATTTCAGACAAAAGGGGTACAATAAGAAAGACTGAGAGCTGAATTAGCACTGCATGTTTAGAGCCCATATTGCAGTACTAGGAGGAATTGTGTGTAGAATGGGGATATCATTTAACACTTGTTTTCACTCATCTCTTGCCTGCCTGTGCCTAACTGGCCTCTTTAGTTTTGGTAACTGTTGCCTCCCAAACGCCTATAGCACACAACTGACATCATGACATCAGGAGTGAGGCATGGCAGGCCACTGACTGACCCCAAACAACTCACTGATATCAGACTGTCCTGCAGGGTTTTTGTTGTCAGAAGTCCCTTCAATGCTGCCGAGTCTGTGTCCACATGTTGTAGTTATTGAAGCATCAGGGGAATCTGTGTACAGCTGCAGATTCATAGCATGAGCACAGTCATACATAGCAAAAGTATATACGGTTTCCCTAGGGCTTTGATTTCCTCCTGTTTGCATCAGTAATCATGACAAACGAATGCTAATGGTGAATCAATTTTTTAAAAGCATGAAAAATGTCTTTCAACAGCAATTTTGTATGTCAGTCAAAGATGTTTAACACCTGTATCGTAAGGTTACTTTTGGAACGAAACGGTTTCATAACGATCAAAGTAGCTCTTATCCCTGTTCTCACATTTGCTGAAGCATGACGATTCTTCATTAGGAGTCACAGGAGCTGTTCTGCAGTGAGTGTTTACATAACTGAGCCTAGCAGCCGCTGCCTATCCTTATGTGGTCATGTGCTTTTGCAGAGCTATCCAGGAAAAGGCAGACTTAAAAGACCTCAGGTGAATAAGAGCCAAGGAAGAGGCTGAGAACAGATTTCTGTTTTCCTTTTCACTCTCATCTGTGTAACAGCAGGAGGATTGCCCATCTAGACTTGGTATTCATATATTAATCAGCAGGGGTGACTGCATCCCTGATTGTGAGAATTAATCATTACAAAACCCTGCTTGTAGGGCTGTGAACAAAACTTTGTTCTTTAGGAAATTACAATGAAACAGTCAAACTGTAAAAGTATATATATATATATATATATATATATATATATATATATATATATATATATATATATATATATATATTTTTTTTTTTTTTTTTTTTGTGGCATTTAGCTTGAACTCTGGCTCAAGGACCAATGCAGGTAGTTGGTTGACGTTAGTGCTGCTCAGAATAGATATCTGTATCAATTATGCAGGGTATTTACCAACAAGTATCCTGAATTTTGTCATCAGGGTTGGGTAACAACATTCTATGTTTGAATTTCTAAAGAAATGGTGTAGAGTAGAACCAAAATACAAAGAAGAGGTAGATAGGTTGTTAAGTAAAAAAGAAAAAAAACTTAAAGAAATTTGAAATAGTAACCAAAATAGGAAAGCTGGATGGATAAAAGGGTATAGCTGAATAAGTAGGCAAATACTGTAACACAGAGGGAACTAAGGAAGCAAAAACACAGAAACCAGAATACCACACAAAGCAGAAACTGAGCATAAACAAATATATGAATTTATCAAGACTTAAGCCTAAAGGTCACAAAGAAGTTTTAAAATATATAAAAGAGTGGACTCAGTTTCAAAATAAAAAAGAGAGAAAGAGCCACCAAAACAAGTTTAAACTCAAAACCAAACTCCCAAAGATTTTAATTATAAGAGAACAACTCAAAATACTTTTTTGATCTTTTTTAATAAAAATATTTTATCTCAGCGAAAAAAAAGACATGATTCCAAGTCATAACAGTTAAAATTCCTTACAATGCAGCATTACTTTATAACCTCAACTTCACCTCAAAGTTTTCACTAATTCTATATTTAGCAAAAGATCTGCAAACTACTGTCCCTGATTGAAACTAGAGGTCAGGTTCAGCGAAGAAAGTTTAGAAGGAAATGAAAAGTATCTCAAGAAGATAAACTCAAGAATTGTAAAAAAAAAAAAAAAAAAAAAGTATTTGCTTATTTTTTTTCTTTTTTTTTTATCTAATATTGTTGCAGATGTTTTAAACCTCTCCAAGTTACTATCAGACTGTGTCGCAAGGAGTTAAACCCAACATGAAGACAAGCAGAAAGAAGCAGAAGGAAAGCGTGAACTGAGAAGAGATGATGGTATGGGAAGAGCAAACAGTATAGTAGAGGTAAGAAGTACACTATAAAGAATGAGGTGTAAAGAAAAAGGCTCCAAGGATAATCCAACTTCTTAAATCAAACTAAAGAAAGCAATACTTAAAGATTACAATAAACAAAGAAATAAACAATACACTGACACACAACAAGAGGACCAAAAACAAAAAAGATCCCCAAATCTGATACTTTTAAGACACGTGTAAAAAAGGAAAAAAACTGCTCTGGTCACACAGCTGATACCCATCATACTATTGGGCACTTGCTCTGCCACTCTACCTTAGAAAAATTACCACCTCTAAAAACAATCAATAAATAAAGAAATACTGTAGTATAACCTTTCTTTACATCTTATACTGCAGCATGCACAATTAAATGCCCAGCTAGAGCAGGCTGCCATGGATTTTATGGTTGTGTCAAAAAATGTATTTTTAATATACATCGTTCTTATTTAAACTTAATTTTAAACTTATTTAAACTTCTGTTCTTACTGTTCTACCTGCTGCCCTCTGGCAAGAGGCTTCGCAGCATCCGCTGCAGGCCCAGCAAGTTCTGCAGTAGCTTTCCCCCCACTGCCATCAGACTGTTAAACTATTAAACACTAATTTGGACTGTATCACACTTGCAACATTATTATGCACTACCAGTATGACTGAAACTTTTTAAATCCTTTTAAAGAAGGAACTCAATATCAGACTGCATTTTGCCCAATATTTATATTGCAATGCTCTGAACCTTTCCATATTAATGGCCCTTTTAACCATTATTTTATAAACTGGTTTTCCTTTTCTCCTATAATGCTTACATGACGATCACTGCTGTACTTTAAATAACAATGTTCATTTCACTGTTGGAAGCTGCAATATAATTTTATTTTGTATACATTTGTTGTATATAAAATGACAATAAAGTTAGCCTAAGTCTAAGACAAAACTTAAATCAGAAAACAGCTTATTTCCCACTGAAATGCACTGGAGTGCCAAAAAAAAAGGATAAACACTAACAAAATGTTCTTAATCATTTGATTAAAACATCAGCGCTGTTATTTATTCCTGTGTATTTATATGTGCTAGATGTTAAGCATCAGGCAGCAATGCAAACACATTGCCAATAGTTTATCTTCTTGTCAATTCCAAGAAGCAACTCATCACATTTCACTGGGACATGCCATTAATCTCAGCAAAGTACAGTAAGTGCTCTGAATAATCCATCTATCCCATTCACTCCACCTTTCCCCTTTTTATACAAGGCTGACATCATGGAAAACTAGTGTCTGCGTTTTACCAGGGACACAGCTTAGAAGGAATGACACTTCCATAAAAAGAGAGCAGAATCCACTGGAGAGCCACAACATGTACTATTGGCAACTGTGCAGAATGTCTGCAACATTGCATGATATTCTTAAACAGATAGACAGTATCTCATTGTATCCCTGCCCCCTCTTTTTTTCTTTAAATGTCTCTGTCACACAGACTCCAGCTGACATAAACAAAAAGCCAAACTACACCCAAGAGAACAGGCCACTTAGAACCAAAAAAGAAGAAAAAAAACAGGAAATTATGGAAGGAATGTTTCAGTCCAGAAGTCTTTTCCAGAAAATGCGATTTGACTGCTTTAGAGGAAACACTTTTCCCTCTTTTATATATTTAGAATATTAGATACAGAGAGCAGTTGATTCAGTTCACCTAAATCCTGAATCGCTCTTTATAAGGTCTAATCCAGCTCATTTCTAACAACAGGTGAAGTTTGTTGTTTGAAAAAATGCTACTAAATCATGTAAAATGTCCATATTTAAGTTCATTGTGATAAAAAATGTAAAACCAGACAAGTTATGACAGAAAAAAAGGATAAACTACTTATACCTTTGCATATTTTCTTGAGAGAAAAATTATATGACTATATCATTTGCTGAAACATTTTTGAACAGTCCAATTTGTTTTGCAAAAAAAAAAGTAAGAATCCTGCAAATACTGTAAGTTTTAAGGTAAAGCAAGGAATAATTTTAAGTTAATCATACCTCACGTAATAAAATTAAATTGTTTGCAAGTAAATATGTATCTACTGCCAAAGAGAGCTATTATCCCACTTGCAGCGAAAAACAGAAATAACTGATGAAAATTACAGCTTAAAGAAGAATGCAAACCAGACTTTTTTTTTTGTAAATAATAATAATAAAACAACTTCCAGTGAAGAAAAGCTTACTCTGTAGTTTTTGTCTGTATAGGATGGAGAGGATGGCGGTGAATCTGTTAGTGATTTCCTGGTGCGGGCCAGGTCTTTGGTGCGAGGGTAATAGGTTGACATCTTCCTCCTCTAACCTGAATAGGCAGGTACACCTCTACTGTAACACTCACTGAAGGTCGGTCAGCAGATAAAAGACACACAGATTCCTTTAGGCAACAAAGCTGCAGAGGTCCATGACACCGCTCTGGGGGAATCCGCTGAAGACAGGTGTTTGAGTGTGTGTTAACATGGGGGCTCCAGTCCAACTTAAAGCTCCTTAGTGACCTTGAAAGAAAGTTGCAGCTAATTTTGGAGGGATTTCAGATGTTTTGGAATCTTATAATTTGGTGGTAATCATTGATCAAGCAAACCAGTTTTTGCAGATCAGTAAAAAAAAAAGGAAAATCAGGACATCAAACACAAAAATGATCCCTGGTCTTCCTGAGAAAGAATTGTAGAAAATATGCTTAGGAAATGAGGTTCAAAGAAAACAACTCTTCTCTGCTGCCTCTTCTTGCGTTTCAC